AAATGATGCAGAGGAGAATATTTTTCCTCTGTGGGGTCACATCTGATCTGCTTCTACTGAGCGGAGTTCCTAGTAGGTATTAGGGAGATATTGATGACTGTAGTTTAACAGCATTGCACTTAGTGAAGTACCAAATCCTACTATAATAGGTTTATTGGTTTTTTTATACTCCCAAATATAAAAGAATTTTTCCAGAATCTTTTCTGCTATTATGTTGAAATACATGTTTGAGTAGTACTACATTTGTTAGTGGCTTTTAATGGCAGAGAGAATTATGTTATAGTCTGTATGTCCTCTGGAATTTATCTCACCATATTGTAGTATTTCTGTAATTATTTTCGAGTCGTAGTTAATAAATATAGTATATTATCCACAGCTTACAATTGCAGCTACATAAATTTCTTCCTTTTTCTTCTCTTGTACTGAGTAAGTGTAAATGTTATGAATAAGATTTGAGAGGAAATTTTATGTCATTTTAATGGGCTTATGCATGTATTGGATAGCTGAATTGCAACTTTTAATTTCAGCTTGGAATAAAGAATTTGAAATAGTGAAATGAATCAGCACATCTCAGGAATTAAATGCTGTTCATTTTATTTGAGTGATCATATTGTTTTATGGTAAAAACAGACTGTTTTACTCCATGTGACAATTATTTTGTAGTGAAGAAATATCTTGAAATTATAGGTCATTTTTCAATTTTATATGCATTTTTGTCAGCCTAAAATAATTGCTGATTTGGACTTTCCATGGAAAGAGAGGTGAAGGTTATATTATTAACTTTGTGAGAAAGCCTTTTTTAGGTCATTAATCAGATATATTGCTTAGAAGCAGTAGAATATTACAAAAAGCTTTAAATCCTGTAATATAAGCTCAGGCAAGAGATAAATACTTGTTAAGTGCTAGGTGTGGCGGTGCAAGTCTATCTTTCCCATGCTTGGGCATTGGAGCCAGGAGCACTGGGAATTTGAGGCTAGCCTGGGCTATATGAAACCCTGTAAGCAAGCAAACAGCCAGCCAGCCAGCCAGCCAGCCAGCCATAATGAAAACTAAACTTCAAACAAAAACAAAACAAAAAGCTTCAGAGAGACAAGTTAATTGTAGAAAAAAGAATATATTGCATGATTCAGAGAACCAGAGATGGGGTGCTGTAGAGCGAGTGCTAGTTGTGGTGCTGTCAGTAGGAGATACAGGGAGAGTTCAGAGCCTGGGAAGGGCTGGAGCGGTGTGTTTGTTTTGATTTGGCATAGGCAACAGGATTTGGAGATATTCATCATGCTCCTACTGGGACAACATATAAACTTCCCAGAGTTTTCCTCAAAACACTGCCACATAGGGCCGTGCTCTGTAATAAACAGGCATAGCTCATTTACTTTTGGAAATGGGACAGCTAACTGAACTGGCTCTTTGTGGGTTTGCTGTCGCTAAACCTCTAAAGAACTGTATTCCAATTAACACTCTTGTCCTTTCTCATATTTTCTGAAACTACTGCCTTACTCTGGCCATAGTTTCTTACAGCCGGAGCAATAATGGCTCTGGACCCTGTGCCACATCGTGTTAGGGACATTTTGCATATGTGGACTAACTGGATCTTCACACAGATCTCATGAAATCAGTTATACTAATTTTCATATTTTACAGACATTTGCCTGACAAATATTACACTTTTTTAACCCTATTTTATGCTACCTTGTTAATAAAAAAGAACTTTTGTTATCAGTGGTTTTATTTTGTTTTAGTGCTGGGGATTGAATCTAGAGCCTCACACACACTGGATGAACCCTCACCCACTAAGGAATATCTCCCTGCCACCCCTTTAATTTTTTATTTTGAGGCAGAGTCTCACTGAGTTGCCCAGGCTGGACTTTAAGGCCTTGGCATTTCAGTCCTCTTGCTCCAACCCCAGAGTAGGACTAGTGGGACTGCAGGCCTGAGCCACCAGGCCCAGTTGTTTTCAGTACGGTAAGCTTTTTTTTTTTTTTTTTTTTTTTAAATGTTACATTAAAAGAAGCTTGTTCAGTAAGTTTTAAAATTTCCACTAGAGGTCAGTCTATCACCTTGGAACATAAATACTGTTGCTGTCTAGTTGTGAAAGTGAAATTTTTGTTGATTTAAGCAGTGTGTTATGGAAGGGACTAATGTAGCCGAATAAATTTTGAACTATAAACATAGTCAAAGAATAATTTTTCATGTGTGGTGCTGGGATTCAAACTCAAAGCGTTACAAATGCCATGGAGCTGTGTCCCCAGACCTCAGAGTCATCTCTACAGAAACAGAAGCATGCATGACTATTATAAGATCCAATATTGGTTCAATAGATTGTATTTGCAGAATTCAATCAAGATACCCTTGTGAAATGACGTCTGGGATAGAAAGACTACTTATTGACCTTGATCTTTGTTTTCTATAAATTATTCACATTAAATATTAAACTAGTTTTTCATTACTAGTATTTCAAATTCTTTTCCTTGACTCATTTAATTCACTCAAGGATGTAGGACATACCCAGAAGCAGTGAAATTATTTGTTGCTCACTAAAAGATACTCTGATAATTTTAGGGCTTTTTTCTTTAAAATAGCTTAGAGAATTTTATTTCTCAGCACCTAGGTTTTAAAATAACATGGTGTTGGATTAAGAAGTTAAGTCTTTTTTAGAAGCAACATTTTGAACTTTCCTCTGTGCTTGTGAAGGCAGTGTTTTATTGTGGAGGCATTACACATAGTTATTTGTAAGTCTAGTTGGTACAGAGTAATTACCCATTTGGCTCATGATGTTAGTAATGGTTCTGGCTACTGTAGGTTAAATAAATCCTTTAGTCAGCCTTCAAACTAACTGAAACAATTTCACTTGACTCCAGATTTGTCACACTGAAGATGAATGGCAGCATGCAGAAGAGGCTTGAACAAGGAGGGAAAGTACAAACAGGAAGGTGGATTGGCACAGGTTGTTGTACTGGATAGTCAGTGAGTTAAACCCAAGGGATCTTGAATGGAGTGAGGAATGAGGGCATCTTGTAGACAGAAATCTGCAGAATTATAGATAAAGAATTGCCTTTAAGATCAAGAAGTCTCCAGAGGCAGCAGAGAACAAATGAAGAGGAAGGCAGGAGCTAGTGATTTCTCAGCAGGCTTACCCCTGCACTGTTAACTACTATAGACCAGCCACTATGCCAGGAGCTTTAGTGAACTCCCATTTTCTCCTTCCAGTAACTGTATGGTATAGGAATCCCTCTTTACAGACATGGTGACTGAGGCTCAGGAGTTTCAACAACTTACTAAACCGATATCTGAACCCAGGCCTTGTGGCCCAACTCTGAAACTCTGCGGCCTCATCCCTTTTTTCTTTTGGTCCAGTTCCCCCCCCCCGCCCCCCCTCTTGTCTGCAGTGTAAAGATAGCTGCAGGCTTACATCCAGTGTGAAATTAACCCCACAGGTAAACCTAAATTACAACAAAGGCAGAGGGTTATAACTTCCAGAGAGGCAGATTGGGGATATTTTTGTTAAAAACTGGAAGTTTCTCAACCTTTGCCTACAAATCACCATGTAGACCTCTGTTCTCTGATTAGATGGTGATGGATCTGTTGCCTGCACTTCTCACCACTTTGTTGTTTTCTTCTTCTTGTGAAATCCTCTAATTATCTTACTAGGTGTTCCCTCTGTTGGCTTGGTTTTTCACAAATGACACTCCTGGAGGTGCCTCTCAAGGACTTTGCAGAGTCTTAATAGGCAGCATAGTGGGCCAGCCAACAGGGAAGTTTAGGGATCACGGGTTTGGGCTGTCGGTGTACTTTTGTCACTTTATTTTTACACCTGCAGGCAGCAGTGCTTCTGAGACCTTTTCGTCTTTTAAAGATAGCTTTGATCCTAGATCTCTTTCTGCTTGGGATATGTTTTTGAAGAGGTGAGGACAGAATGTCAGCTTTCTTCTCCCAAAGGCACTGGTCGCTGAATTTCCCCTATAATCCAGGACTTTTATCATTCCCTCCATGTTGATGGTTACACTAGACCTGGCGAATAGCATTGATCTTTTGTTTTTTGACCCAAGTGACTTGTTAATGGTAAAAGGTCTATCAGCTGAGAATGCTTTAATCAGGCCCTCTTTTTCTGTGGTTGAGTTAAGGTCTATCTACGGTCAACTGCAAAAAGTCTCTTCCAAGTTTTTTTTTTTTCTTCACTATTTTTTCTCCTGAAGTTGCTTGCAGGTGATATTAGGAGGAATACATCCGGGTTATTCCGGGGCAAGCAAATGGAATGCTCTTCTCTTTAAATAGCTTTTAATCTCTTGGTCAAAACTTTGATTTGTTTTGACAAAATAACACAGAATTCTTAACCTCACAATATAAGGTAGCAGCAGATCCCCAGGTGCCAGAACCTCTCAGCAGAGAAGGCCCAGATGAAGCCTAAGGCCAGAGTGCCTGCTTTCTTCTGGGAGGAGTTGGGGATGGAAATTATCTGTTTCTAATCTGCCAGTATCCAAATGTCTTTCTTTTTTCTCTTTGTTATTTCACAGGGAAAAGAAGCAGTTAGACCTGAAATACGTAAGTTCTCTACAACTGATCTGGCAACTGACTTCCACCTGCAACCCTCCTCAGCCTTCACACTTTCCTTACTTCCATCCAGCAACTAAGGTCATATTACAAATATAAATCTGATCATACCATCCCTTCCACAGAACTGATTTGTCAGTTAGTATTTCTCTTACAGTAGAGTGGTACATAAGCTTATGATCCCTAAATATCTGGTCCTTCTGTCTTACAGTGTAGTCTGTAGTGCCTCTTCATAGTCCACATGGGATCTCTGACTTCTTCAGAGCCATGCTCCTTTACAAAAGCATTTTTTTATACAAAACAATCATCATGTATTTATTTAATATACATTGTAAGGGTTCAAGCAGACTTAATTAAAAAAAACCAAATAAAACAAAAATAACACTACAGCTTAGAAATCAAGGAAAGGACAGACCACCTAGGAAGGAAGATGACTCAAGAGAGAGGCTGGACAGCTTGCATCAGGGCTCTTGACTGGAGACCTGCTTTGAATAGGTTTCTTGCAGGTACTTCTTAAACGCTGTGGGGTTTTTCCAGAGCTCGGCAGCATGTGTGTTCAAAGGGCTATCGATGTTGGGTTCTCCCAGCAGGCTCTGGACAGAGAGCAAGATGGTCCTGATGTCATACAGTGCGGACCACTTATCCTTGAGGATGTCCAGGCAGATGTTTCCCTGGGTGTCCACGTTGGGGTGGTAGCAGGGCGTGGGGAACTTCACTGTGGGCGCGTTGTAAGGGTAGCCACTGGGGAACTCTAGGGAGAGTTTATACCTCAGGTCTTCGTATACTGTGCCGGCTGCTCCATGGATGGTCCCTACCCATTTGAACAGGTTGTCTGATTCAGGGAAGGCGGAAATTCCTTTGTCACCAGATGTCATGAGGGTCATCAGTTCCTGCTGTAGCCTCTTGGCCACAGGGCCCTGGGCGGCGCCCCGCTGGGCTCAGCTCCCTTGCCAGCGGCAGCGATGCTGGCAGCGGCTGGGTCGCGGTTTTGCGAGGCCATCCCGGGGTTGCTGGCACCTAGACTGAGTGCAGAGACAGAAAGGACAGCTGCCGAATCATTATTATTATTATTTTTTCCTGAAGAGAATTGATCACTTTTGTGCATCCCTCCTCGGATAGCTTTTTGGGAAATTCAGGTATAACCATATCTTTAATTATCAGGTTCATTGCATTACTCTTATATGCTTTTATTTTTTTTTACTTTTACTGAAAGTAGCTTTCGCCCACTCACATAACTTTTTTTTTTTTTTTTTAAATAAAGTAGCATTCGGTTTTATGCTAGGACCCTGGGCTACTTAGTCTCAGGTTCTTGGTTACCCAAGCAGTGTTGGGTATAGGTTCCACCTCACAGAGTGGGCCTTAAGTCAAATCAGATGTTGGTTGGTTACTCCCCCAGGCTCCGTGCCACCATCACACTAGCATATCTTACAGGCAGGGCACAACTGTAGATAAAAGGGTTTGTGGATGTCTTGGTGTTTACATTTCTCCTTTGGTAACATGCAGAGCAACTTCCTGTACCAAAGACACTAATTTGTAGGGATAAAGCCTCTTTGTAGGTGCCAGCTGGCCTTCTGTGATTTGTGTAGGTGTTGTCTTCAGCAATGGGGAACTTGCTTCAGTTTGTGGAGAAAACCCAATACCCTTGACAACAGACTGGGTTGTTTGGGGGCCCCTTTAGCCAACAACTCACTTAGATTAACCCAATTGTTGTACTGGAAATTTCATTTGATGACAAGAGATGTCCATTGGGGACTGTGCTATTTGATTATTTCATTTAGCTCCCCTTCACGAATGCACACACACACACACACACACACACACACACACACACACACACACGTATATATATTTTATAAACCTTCTACTGTATAAGGTTTTTATACTACCTTTCAATTGGCCTTTAATTTTAGCTGCTTCTCCCTATATTTTCTTTTTGTCCTCTTCTTCCCTCCCTGCTTGGTTCTATCCATAACTATTCTATTTTCCTTTCTAGGGAGCTCTATCTGGGCCCTCCTCCCCAGAGTCCCTCACTCTATACCTAACCTCTGTGGTTCTATGTATTGCTGCTTGGTTATCATTGACTTAACAGCTAATATCCACACATAAGTGAATACATACCATATTTGTCTTTCTCAGTCTGGGTTACCTCAATCAGGATGAATTTTTCTAGTTCCATCCATTTGCCTGTGAATTGATTTTAATTCTTAAATGGCTAAGTAATATTTCATTGTGTAAATATTCCACATTTTAAAAATCTATCTGTTGAGGGACATCTAGGTTGTTTCTAGTTTCTGGCTATTGTGAATATAGCAGCAGTGAACATGACTGAACAAATGTTTCTGTGGTAAGGTAAAGCTTCCTTTGCATATATGTCCAAGTGGGGTATAGCTGAATCTTTTTGTTTGTTTGTTTGTTTGTTTGTTTGTTGAGACAGAATTTCATTGTGTAGCCCTAGCTGTCTTGGAACTAGCTCTGTAGACCAGGCTGGCATCAAACTCACAGAGAGCCACCTGCCTCTGCCATCCTAGTGCTGTTATTAAAGGCGTGTGCCACCACAGCCTGACAGTATAGCTGATCTTTAGGTAGATTGGTTCCCATCTTCCTGAGGAACTGCCACACAGATTTCCATAGTGGCTGTACACATTTGCAGTCCCAACAGCAATGGATGAGTGTTTCCTTTATTCCCTGTTTTTGACACATGAGTTGTCATTTGTTTTATTGATCTCAGCTATTCTGATGGGTGTAAGAGAAAATCTCAAGAGTAGTTTGATTTACATTTCACTGATGACCAAGAATGTTGAACATTTCTTTAAGTGTTTCTCTGTCATTTGAGTTTTCCCTTTTGAGAATTCTTTGTTAAGATATGTTCCCTATTTTTAGTTGGGTTGTTTCCTTGAAATCAACTTTTTTGAGTTTTTTATATATTTTGGGTATTAGTTCTCTACCACCTGTGTAGTGGATAAAAATTTCCCATTCTGTAGGCTGTTGCTTTGTCTGAACAATGGTGTTCTTTGGTGTACAGTAGCTTTTCAGTTTTGAGGTCCCATTGATTAGCTGTTGGTTAGTGCCTGGGCTGTGCCTGCGAGTTCAAGGCCATACCCCATTTTCTCTTTTATGAGGTTCAGTGTATCAGGTTTTAGTCTTAGGTCTTTACTCCATTTGGAGTTGAGTTTTGTGCAAGGGTGATCTATATAAGTATGTATCTTTTTGGATTCTTCTACATGCAGCCACCCAGTTTGACCAGCACCATTTGTCCTACATGCTTTTATTGACCACAAGTTCAGAATTTATCTTTTGAGGCTTCTCTGTGTGCTTCGTAAGAACCTGGAAATGCCAAGAAGGGCTAAGCTTCTGTGCCATGTGGACAGTGAACTAGGAATATGGCAAATTCAGATGACTTGCTGGGGAAGGTTGCCTCTTGCCTTAGTTAGGGTTTCTGTTGCTGTGAAGAGATACCATGACCACAGCAACTTGTTTTTTTCAAGACAGGGTTTCTCTGTGTAGCCTTGGTTTCTCTTTGTATACCAGGCTAGCCTTGAAATCATAGGATTCTGCCTCTGATTACAGGCATGGGCCACCTTCCCTGGCTCTACAGCAACTCTTGTAAAGGAAAACATTTAATTGGGGCTGGCTTACAGTTTCACAGTTTCCGAGGTTTAGCCGGTGATCGTATGGTGGGAAGCCTGGCAGCATGTAGACAGGCGTGTGCTGGAGAAGGAGCGGAGAGTTGCATATCTTGGTCCAAAGGCAGCAGGAAACAGCTGAGACACGCTTCCTCCAGCAGTGCCACACCTACTCCAGCAGGCCACACTTTCTAATAGTGCTGCTCCCTCTGAGCTTATGGGGTCTGCTTTCTTTCAAGTCACCACACTGCTGTTGAAAAATGGCCCTAAAACCCAAAGGAACACTTGTGCACTGTTTCTGGTGACCTTTCTGAGCTATAGAATGTATACCTTGCATTCATATTTGTACAGTTACATTAACATATTTAGTCATTTTTCCAAGGTATAGTCTGTGTCATGGGAGTTACATTCTGGGCTAGAGTTTCTTCTCCTCATGACCATTGTGCTGGTTTAAACTCAGACTTATTGAGAACTTCATGCCATTTGTGTCTCTTGCCATGACTCACCGGTCTGGGCCATGTCATGTTTATCTGAACAGGTTTCTCTAGTTTTCAATCCCAAGAACATTCCCACGGGGCTAATGAGTGGTGCAGTCCAAGAATGAATGTAGTTATTGCTGGGTTGGACACCCAGCAAAGGTACTGTGACATTCTGAGACAGGGTCCCTTTTCAATTTTCAGTCAGTTACTCAAGGTGGGAAGGTCTTTTAAATGACTCTTTACAAAATAAAGAAAATGAGCTTCAGGATGACTTTCCTCTTTTGGAACCGAGAAAAGTTAAGATTTCCTCTTAACGTCATCTCAGCTCCATTTCTTGAGTGTTCTAATCTCAGCTTAAGCCACCACTTTGTATTCACTGTCCTGGTGTCCTTGCGATCATTTGCTATAAGGGAGTTCTGATCCTCCATCCCAGTAAAAGCTCTCGGAATATGGGGACTAGTCTCCATTGTTGCGTCTTCAGTGCCTATCACAGAGTACCTTGTGCATCATCAGCATGCCAGGTGTATGTGATAGAGAGCAGGCTCTAAGTTTCAGAGTAGATAATCTAAGATGTCTTAAATATTCAGAAATGTAAAGGCATTTCTGCGGTATTTCCTATTGTGAAACTAATACAAAATCAGCAGATGGAATGAATATGTATTTCATTCTGTTTCAAAAAATATAATCCATGAAACTAGGAAATAGCTCAGGTCAAACTATAGACTATTACAGTAGGATCCTGTAAAGTGTGGATCAGATCCATGGAGGAGGCTAAAAGCTGATGCTTCTTTAGATTGTAAATAGTGAAAATTTTATTAAAACTAAGTGAGAAGACAGATTGTCTCATCTTGTGAAGTATGAGTTGAGGCAGGTCCCAGGGAAAACTGGAAAAGCCACAACAGAGTCAGTGTAGTATCTCAGTGGTGAGAGAGGTATCTTCAGGACTGGCTGCAATGTCCTCCTCTGTGGCCTAGCTAGGCTGCTCCTCCCACAGGGGGTTGGGGAGGTCAAGGAGCTAGCCATAGAGTTCATGCCAGAGAGTCCCTGTTCCCCTTACTAGGGAAGACACTTGGATACTGAGCTGCCATGGGCTATGTCCAAGCAGGGGTTCTAGATTATATTCATACATGGTCCCTGGTTGGAGAGTCAGTCTCAGACAAGCCCCTGTGCCCAGATATATTGGTCCTTGTGGAGCTCCTGTTCTCTCCAGGTCTTACTCTCTCTTCTTTCATATGATTCACTGCACTCTGCCCAAAGTTTGCTTATGAGTTTCAGCATCTGCTTTGATACCTTGCAGGGTAGAGTCTTTCAGAGGCCCTCTGTGGTAGGCTCCTATCCTGCTTCTCGTTTTCTCCTACTTCCGATGTCCATCGTATTTGTCATTCTATGTAAGGATTGATCTTCTTACCCTGGGTCCTCCTTCCTCTTTAGCTTCTTTAGGTGTACAGATGTTAGTATGTTTATGCTATCTTATCTTATAGGTCTAGTATCCACTTATAAGTAAGTGGGTATATACCATGTGTGTCTTTCTGCTTCTAGGATACCTCACTCAGGATGATCTTTTCTAGGTCCCTCCATTTGCCTGCAAATTTCATGATTTCCTTGTTTTTAATTGCTGAGTAGTATTCCATTGTGTAAATGTACCACACTTTCTGTATCCATTCCTCCATTGAGGGACATCTGGGTTGTTTCCAGGTTCTGGCTATTACAAATAAAGCTGCTACAAACATGGTTGAACAAATATCCTTGTTTTGTACTTGAGCATCTTTTGAATATATACCTAGGAGTGGTATAGCTGGATCTTGAGGAAGCACTATTCCTAATTGTCTGAGATAGCGCCAGATTGATTTCCAAAGTGGTTGTACAAGTTTACATTCCCACCAGCAATGGAGGAGGGT